CCTCAATCTTAAAGTTTGCAGCCTTGCAGTTTAGGCATAATGTCTTGAATTCCCTTGAGAACTTAATAGCAGTAACTTTTATGTGTTAAATTTCAAACATTATTGTGTTGCTAAATCAGAACTTCCATGAAAATGCCTTTTAGATTTATTTGCAGATGTGGTTTAGATGCTGTTCATGTTTAATCACATAGTAATATACTGAATAGAGAAACACACTGCAGACTTCTTTATAACTGAAAGGTTTGTTAGACTTGGCAGGATTAGAGGAAGAGGCCATATTACTTAACTCTGTCAATCTTTAATCTTTTTTTTTTTTTTTAAATGCATTGCTCTGTTTTAAATAGGGTTGATACCTTACGTAGTTGGGAGAGAGTGTTGCATGAAGCAGGACAGACACAATGCTTTTAGAGAGGTGAAACTCACAGGAGAAGTTTCAGAAGCTATTTTTAACGAGGCTAAGCACAATCTGATATCAGAAGAGCATCCAAAGCTAGGACCATGAAGCTGGTCCAGTGATACTGGTTTGTTCATCTGTGCTGAAAACAGTTCAGGCAATGGTATGGTTCCCTGTGTGGTGAAAGCAGTTATGATGCAGCTTTTTTGACTTTTTGTTGAGGACAAAAGCAGATGATTTAGTATTCCATCAGCAACTTCAAATGGGATTCATTTACTTTGGTTCCCTCCCTTCAGGCTCCTTTTCCACTTTCCTCATCCTCATTTTTTTTTCTGGAACATACTTGCTGAAAACCTGTTTGATGAATTAGCCAAGCAAAAAGAATGCCTAGCCAATCAGCTAAGAAATTGTTTCTACTGACTCAATGATTCTGTGTTCACTTGGTCTGAGTGAAAACTTAATTATTGTGGCATGGTTGGTCCCAACTAAGATGGTTCTGAAGCTCCATTTAAGAGGAAGAAATGTAAAAGTATACAAATCTTTTATCTGTTTTGTTACTGATAAGATGTAGCCCTACTGTAGGTTTCGTTTAACTTCAATTCAGAACTTAGTTAAGCCCTTCAAAGTGTCTTGTGTCTTGTGTAGCTGTTCTGGTCAGATAAACGCATAACAGAATTATTATCTGTTTCCTATTAGATCACTTATATTTGTTTTAAATATATGTTTCCTGTCTGAATATGATTTGATAAGTCTGACAATCAAAATTTCTTCCTAGCATTTTAATTAGAAGAGTACTGTATCTTCTGGGAGGTAAAAAGTACATCGAGAATTCTGTTTAAGCATCTTCATTGGTTACTATGAGAAATAAGTCTATGCAATCACTATTTTTCTGAAGTTCCGAATTCTGTGGGCATTATAACTTTCTTAATACACCATCTCTACAGGGCCAGAATGGACAGAAAAAATACCAGATCAATCTTAAAAGTAGTTCAGGACCTATTCATGTACTGCTTATAAACAGAGAATCAAATTCCTCCAAGCCCATGGTGTTTCCAGTTCCTCCACCTGACGACCTTGCACAAACCCCATCTCAGCCTGCAGCTCCAGTGACTCCCCTTAAACCTACTCCAGCTCCTGAAAACCCACCAGAACATGGCCTTAACCAGGAACAACAGTTGCCAGAAACAACAGTGGACACAGAGTCAGGTGGGTCTGAATTATTTTTCCACCTAAGATGGGTGGAGAAAGGCTTAGGGGGAAGAAAGAGAAATGGTGATAGATAGAAGAAAGGCATATCAACAATTTGCATAACAGGGCAGGTGTCTGTTAAGAAACTATCCCAAGGGGCTTACTAATGGCTTTCAAGAGGTTCTTCCTCTTCTGTGCTCTGATTGATTTCACCCTGATTGATGAAACAGATTTTCCCCTTGTAGCTTATCATCTTACACCGAACAGGTTTTGCATGTGATCCCAGTTGTTAATCTGAGATGTTTCTCCAAAATGCAGGGTGGAATTAAATTGTCAGCCTTAGACGGGAGTATATGATTTGAACATACACCTTTTTGTGAAGGAGATACTACAGGCACCAGTCCCAGCTTTTGTGCCACAAGGTCACTTACTTTCTTCCACATAGCCACAATGAGAGACTGCCTGAATATCTGGTATTTTTTTAAAATCGTAATTGTAGGATAATATGGAAATATTTAAGAAAATGTCGTCACCGTTTCAGTCTCTGTTTCTGAGGGATCCTGATAAAATTGAGTTTGTGAGTTTGGAATGGAGAAGAGATTCTTCTTTCCTCAACCCAGACATTAGCTGTGTTGTCCTCAAGAGAGAAAGCCAGATGCAGGTCTTTTACATTCCTTTTTACAGTAATAGATTTTATAATGTGCTTTTCTGTCTTTGTAGAAAGCAGTTTGCAGCAGAACAGTACAACGCCAGCAACTCCTTACTCTAGCCTTCCAGAGTCAGTGTTGTACCCCAGCCTTTCAGGAGATGTCGCCCAAGCTACAGCAAGCTCCAACGACTATCAGGCTTTGCTCCCTTTGGACGTTAACTGTATCCTCAAGCCAAACTCGTTTGACATAGGAAAGATGGAGGAGCCCACAGGTAGGAAGAAAACAGTTGCTATTCAGTATTTTTGTTGCTTCCTGAGCCATTCTTTTTGCCAAGTTACCAATGAGTTACAAGGAGGGAAGGATTAAGGCTTTTCCCACGGAGGAAATGATAGGCATTTGTTTATCTCCCACTGAAGCCACAGAGCCAGTTCTGGGTAGCAAGCTCATTTTGAGCAAAATACCTTTCTCTGCTATCAAATAAGCTACTCATTGCACATGGCTTTAGGGTTATAAGAGATTGACTGTACAGCTTGAGGAAAGCATGAGAAATTTATCAGGAAAAACTGAGGGATAAAAACAGGAATATATTTTATATATTTATGCAGCACACTGTCTCCACAGCTCCTAGCATGTGCATGTGAGCTGTACTGTACTTTACAGTTCAGTGTTGTTACGCAGGGAATCTGTTAACTGCAATAAACACATGCTCCTGTTTTCACAGGAAATATTGGTGGGGATATTATTGACGAACTTATGTCCTCTGATGGTAAGTATTTAGCATCCTTACTTGCAGATATTAAAAAAGTAGCAGTATGGTTTTTATATGAACAGCACTCTTGGTAGGTGTCTTAAATCTCATATCAAGAGCCAGTATGATACTACTTCTTTCCCCTGTACTGCCTCTTCTATCTTTGTCATTCTCATCTTTGCATCCCTATCTGTTCCCTGCAACGCTTTTATTTAACAGTCAAAATATGAAGCCTTAATCCAGCAAGAACTTACATGCATGAGTAACTGAACAGTACTTAATTTGAAAATAAATAAAGAACAGGTTGATGACTCGAGTGCCTGCCTTAAAATATATATATATATATATATCTTGTTTAATTCTGTTCTGCCTCAGGCCTCTTCCATGAGCTCTGAGCAGATATTTCAGAGCATATTTACATGCCTGCATACAGATTGATACTTGGCCAGGTCTCTTACACTGGCAGAATGAATACAATCCTTTTCTGGTCTTGCATCTCCTTGGCCATATGTATGCAGAACTGAGCTACAGTGGTTCCATACACTTTATGACCCCCTGCTGTATCTCACTGAACCCAGCTGCCTTAGTCCTTTTCCCATTTAACTATGCTGTTCTGTGAACACCTTGTGTTAATATCTGCTTTTCAAGCAGGCAGACTTGGGGCTTATCTAGAAAGAAACATGCAGCTACAAGATCTAAGAGGGAAGCTGGAGTTTTATGAACGTGACAATAAAATATGTGGATAAAATGGACATACTCTCCCATTTTAGAACAGCTACAACGTGCCCAACTCTTCTGCATTAGTCTTCCTGAGGTACAGCACGAGGGCTGAGGCTTCTCCTGCATTACCCAAAAAGGGCTTCAATTCCGTGCATGAAATGTAGTGCAGAGAAGCTGACAGCTTCCATTTTTCTTCTGTACAATAGAGATAATATTAATTTCTTTATCCACATTAAATATCTGAAGACTAATACATACAATATTGTCACAGGAAGGAGATAAATATAAGTAGTGGCTTTTTGACAGAATTTTCAAAAGCTGCTTAGGAGTTCCTTTGCTGCAAAAGGAGAGAGTAGGTCCATACTTCACAGCTTTCACTCCACCCCCAGCAAATTTATGTAAGATACTAAGGACAAAGGTGTAGACATGTCGCCTATTGCCTTAGTTTGAAGGCAATACAGATAGTCACAGTATGTGTCCTAGCATGCTTGTGAGATTATCAAGGCAATATTTTACTTAAGACTGACCCTGGCACTGGTGATGATGAACATACTGGATTATGAGACAGGACTGATATTCCAAAAGTGTTTTAACTTAAACTAAACTATTCCTGCTTTACAGTTTTTCCTCTCTTACGACTCTCTCCTACTCCCGGAGATGACTACAACTTTAACCTGGATGATAATGAAGGAGTCTGTGATCTCTTTGATGTGCAGATACTAAATTATTAGATATTGTGTCAACCAGACTACTTATCTACCTCTAACGATAACATTCTAGACTTCTTCATAACCTAAGTATTTGAATAATGAATGTATAACTTCTTAGTTCACTGACTCTGGGAGTATATTTCCTTTTGCTTCCTTTAACTACTTCACAAAACGAATTTAACCACCAGAAAAAAAGGGCTTTTTTATCAGAATCTTGGCACATTTTTCACCTGAGTGTCCTTTGTGTAATCCAATGATTTTGGATTTTTCTTTTCTAAGGAAAGCAAAAATGCTTTAATAGCCTTCCAAAATGATTAGGCTTTTCTCATAGTTACCAGCATTTTCTTTGAAGCTTTACTGCCGAGAAGCTGTCAATATTTTATAATGTTCCCATCAAATTTGAAACTTCCACTGCCAAGCTGAAAAGTGAAGGATATCAACTTGAGTTATGCTTAATTGTTTCAGTGAACCAATTTTGTGAAGTGCCTTCTGTTTTAGCACTTTAAGTTTCTCACACTGACTTCTGACATTCCACTTTCCTAGATGATAGGAAAGGTCTGTTTGTAGTTTGTATTAAAGTGTGCCAATACTTGTATATTAACAAGATTTTTTTAATAAAATTTTACAAAGAAAGCCTGTGTGACCTTCAATTCTTGGAATCTCTTCATCATCCGTTACGCATTACAGCTGTGATAACAGACTTGTGGCAGCATCCACATTTGCTGGTTCCTCTTCTGAAGGTGTAGTAACCTTATAAAAGAAAAGTTTCAGTTTAAAATACAGATCAATTCAGTTTTATGCTTGGGGAAGGAAAAAAAAAAAAGGAAAAAAATAAAAACCAGCCAATTATTTATGCTGCAAGTGAAAGATAAAGTATCACATCAGTAATGTGCATAGCCCAGGTGAAAGAGGCACACCTTTTAGTTCAGGGAATACTTAAGACAGCACAATTTTGAAACAGAGATGAAAAATACTATTTCTTTACACCCCAAATGGTCACATTGAATGTTATGTCATGTACAGCCCTACTAGTGCAGAAGTAGTGGGACAGTCCAAGATCCCAGCCATGCGCAATAGCAAACTACAGCCTTGCTTGGCCTCGTGCTGTACCAGCAGCACTATCACGTGTGCTTCCTTTCTTCTTCAGCCTCACCCTGGGTTATTTGGCAGTTGTTCTGTTGCTCCCAGCCACACAAAAACTTGATGACCCCAGGCACAGTACTCAGTCTTGTCCAGTTCCCTCTACTTCCCCACCAGCCAGGGTGGGTTCACCTGTATAATCTCGTTTGTCCCCCTAACATAATAGTTATAGGGCACTTGACAATGCCAGCCAGATTTCAGCATTTCCCCGCAACTGAAGTTAATAAAGCTGGCTTTGTCATTTTAAAACCACTACAAGAATTGCCTGCAGCCTTTGTGTCAGAATATAATGCTTTAAAAATGTACATCCCTTTCACTTTCCTCCTCAGATTCTCACAAAGAGAAATTACCTGCTGGTTCTTTGGAGGTTCTGCTGCAGTACCTTTCGATAGTTGCCGTACTTCTTTCTGAATTTCAGCAAAAGCTTTATTTATCTTGCTCACTTTGTCAGCATTTGCAATGTTTATCTGCAGGGAGAAAAAAAAACAGCACACATTGGTGTTCTAAACTGAAATTGCACTGGCATCATTTTTGTACAACTGTTAACTAGTTAATATATGTTATATGCATATCTTACAACATTACAGCAGGAATGTTTTTATATTAGAATTTTGGTTGTCAGTTATATTGCTGAGTCATGTACAAATGTTGGAATAAATACAGAATTATGAAAGCGGTCAGACTTGCTGTGTTGGGAAAGGAGCTCACACCAACCCACTGCACTTTGGGCAGGATCTTGGCCATACAACAGCACTTCACACTGCACCCGGTCCAGAAGCATGCCACACATCCCAAACTGCAGGCTGTCTCCAGCTATTCCAAAGGCTTTCATTCACATCTCAGCAATTTACATAGGCAGAAGCAAACTGTGCACTGTTACACATATTTATGCCTTTTGCCTTCAAAGCTGCTGTAATTTCAGACATTAACAATAATTCCATTCATTCCTGAGACAGCGGCCAGGAGGACCAGCAGTAAGAAAGTGGGGGCACGAGGCCAATAAAACAATCTATTTAGATTAGAGGATAATTGATAATAAACTATAGGTTGACTCAAGAAATACAGGTTCAGCTCCTTGCTCAAATTAGAGTATATGGGGCTGTGGGCAATTCAATTTTCTCAGGCCTTCTGTTTTCCATGAGAGCCTGTTGGCAGCTCCCAGCTTCAGCAGTGCCGAAAGTGTCAGTTTGTGTTCCAAATACCCTTTGCACTCAGGCAGGAACTGCTCTGCAGAATGAGGCTCTGCAGCTGGGATGTGTGTCTGCATCAAAAGCTGTTTGAATAGTTACTATGGAGTCTCACTGAGGAACAAACCCATTTAAACACATTTTTTTGAGCATTTTTACAGTACTACTTAAAGATACATAAATCCCCAAAGGCTTAATGAATTAAAGAATACAGCTTCAAACACACAGAATAAAATTTTACTCCTAATAAGCTGCTGGGTTCTCACGAAGATGCTTTTAAGCCCGTTCCTCCTTTTATTATACAGAGCCCTTTAGACTAAGTGCAGATTTCACACCAGCAACGTGAAATTGTTTCATGGCTCCCTGTTTATTTCCACAGTTCGTTGTGTTCCTGTCTGTCAGCCAGATTAACCTGTCAGGTGGCTTTCTCTTGTAGAATAAGATCTCAAAGGGCCTTTTTTAGGAGCTGCCACTTCCTTCTGCACAGCCGACCAAGTGGTGTGCAGTGAGGGACAGCGCCTCAACTCTCTTGTTGCAAAAAGTTTTCCTTATACCCAGACTAAATCTCCTCTCTTTTAGCTTGAACCCATTTCCTCTTGTCCTACCACCACAGACCCGCTAAAGAGCCTGTCCCCTTCTTTCCTGTAGCTCCCCTTTAGATACCGACAGGCCGCTCTCAGGTCACCTCACAGCCTTCTCTTCTCCAGGCTGAGCAGCGCCAGCTCTCTCAGCCTGTCCTTACAAAAGAGATGTTCCCTCCGTGGATAATTTCTGCGGCCCTGCGGACACGCTCTAGCAGGCCCACGTCTCTCCTGCGCCGAGCTCTCCCCATCCGGACGCAGCACTCCGGCCGCTCTCCCACCGCAGCGCAGCGAGGCAGATCACCTCGCCCCGCTGCCCGCGCGGCTTTCGATGCAGCCCAGGAGAATCGTGGCCGCGACCTCAGCACGCGCAAACCCGCAGCCCCGGGGAAACTGCGGAGCGGCTCAGCCCCGCCGGCTCCCGCTCACCTTTCTCAGCCCGGAGGTGACGGGCCGCGCCCGGCCCTTCCCGCGGGCCTTCCCGGCGGCAGCGCCGCGGGCGATAGCGAAAACGTTGGCCGCCTTCGCCGCCTTCGCCGCCTTCCGCGCCCGACTCTTCCCCATGGCCGCCGCCGCGAGCAGCCGGCGCGCGCCTGACGTCATGACTGAGCGCCGGGGGAAGCCCTGACGTCACCGGCCCGGGATTCCCCTCCGCGGGTCCGCCGTTCGCAGCGCGTGGGATGTTGAGGGCGGGCGGCGGCACCGGGCCGGGCGGGGGGAGCAGCAGCGCACGGCGGCAGCCCCTCGGCACGCAGTTGGAACACACAGAAGCGTTTCCGCGTGTGCTGCGCGGGGCCGCATCCCGCCGGGGGCCGCGGGGCGATGGGGCACCGGGAGCCGCCCCGCCGGGCTGTGGGGGTTGGGGTGGCCCCGAAGGGCCGCGCCGCGGGGCAGGGCCGGGCCGGGCGGGCCGCTTATCGCGGCGGGGCGTCGCCGCACGGCGCCTTCAAAGCGGGCGGAGGGGCCGGCGGGGCCGCTTCTCTCGTCTCGCGTCTCGTCCCATCGCGTCGCGTCGCGTCCCGAAGCCGGAGCCATGCTGCACTGGGGATACGACGAGCACAACGGTACGGGCGTCGGGGCCGGGGACGGAGGCTCCTGTCGGAGCTGTCCGGAGCTGTCCGGGGAAGGGGCGGCGTGGCGAGGCGCGGAGCTGCGAATCCGGCTCTGCCCCCGTCCCTGCGGCGCGCTCCGGGCGCGTCCCTGTGCGGTGTTCGCTGTGCTGCATCGCGGTGCGGGAGGTGCCGGCGCTGTCTCTGGCTCCGGCCGTGTCCCGTTCTGCTGCGCGATGCCGGGATCGGGGTTTGTCGTTTCACGCCCACGGGGAGATGCTTTGGGGTCTGGGTTGTTTCATGCTTCCCTTCATCTCAGCGATCTTGGAATCGCCGAGGTGCTCCCAGCGGAAGGCTTAATGCCGCTGCTCTGCTTTGATCCGTAACTCGTGCAGACGCTGCTCTTGTGCTGTGTGCTCCAGTGCATGCAGATGGGAATGGGAGAGCTCCTGGTGCCGGCTGGAAACACACAAATAGCACAGCTTGTATCGTGTCAGTGCACAGGGCAATAAGGCACTGTGACAGCAAAAAGAAGAAATATATATTGACATGAATTTATGGCCTGGAGCTGCCATGATTCCATGGGTGGGAGTTAGGGACAAGTTCTACACCAGAGGGTGGCGGGCATGGAACAGGCTGCCCAGGGCAGCAGGCACAGCCTGAGTGCCGGAGTTCAGGGAGCACTTGGACACTGCTCTCAGACCTTTTAGGATGGTTCTGTGTGGAACTGGGCATTGCACTCGGTGATCCTTGTGGCTTCCTTCCAACTCGGGGTGTTTTGTAAATCTGATTCTATGTGCTAGTGCACACAGCAGTGGTACTGCTCAGAGCTTCCCTTTGTGGTGTTTTTGTTCCCTCTCCGCTGGAGTGGATGCGCCATTCCCAAAGAACTGGGTGGCAGTGGACAGCTACAGTGCCACAGCAATTGGGTGCTGTCTGCTGCTATGTGCTCTCCCCATCCCCATAAGAAGCTGATGACTCTTGTTTTTGTTTTCGTGTGTTTCTCCCTGTGTTTTCCAAGGGTGCTGCAAACTTCACTTGCAAGGCACAGATAAGCAGTCCCTGTCCCTCTCTTATCCTGGCCTTCCTTCTGGCTTCTAGGAAGGGGAGGGCACCAGAATTTCTATCGGGCTGGTCCTGGACCCTCCTGAGGCTCCTTTTTCCCCCAAGCCCTGTTTACTGGTTGATAACATGTTTGGGTGGAGTTTGGCTCCCCACTCTTTTCCAGCTCCTGGCCACTGTGAGGTGGGCCGTATCCCAGCACCCCATCGCCTGCCCTTCAAACCCACAAGAGAATAAAGGAGAGAGGTTGGGTGTCCAACACCTGACTGCCCTTCCCTATATCAGCTCTATTTCTTAACTCTTTCCATGTATTTCTTGCATTAGTTTTGCCAGTTGTTCAACTGAACAGTGGAAGCATGAGATTGCTGTGCCTCTTGCACCATATTTTTTGCCTGCATGGCCCTGAATAGCTTCTCTAAAACTGAGATCTGCTTTTGCTACTCGGGAGGTAGCAGCAGAGTGAAGTTAATTAACTTTGATGCAGTTGTATATTAGTTGTATATTATATTAGTTGACTTCCTGAAGAGTGGGGGAACTGTCTGCATTCACTCTGACCTCAGCATTTGTTACTTGCAGGGATAAAAGCCCTGTTTCTTTTTTAACTGGGGAAAAACTCGTTTGCCCCTTAGCAATAAGTGCTGCTTAAATCACTTTGTGCATAAACCATCAAATATTACAGATCCCTGTCTGCTTTTATGGTGTATCTACGTACAAGGCTGACTGGTATGCAGAGAATGAAACCTTCCTCACTGCTTTGATGCACATATTTCTGAAATGCTAAGAGGCACTATTTTATTTCCATGCAAACCTTGGCCTTTGTTTCCTTGCCGTTCTCCTTACCTCATGGTTCTAGCAGTGCTTACACAGAGGCGTAACGCTGAGATCTTGGGCACTGGCTGCAGTGCAGGGCAGAAATTCCCACTTTAGTTAGGACACCAAGTGAGAATCCACTGCCTTAAATTTACTCCTGGCTTGATGTGGAATTAATTATGTGGAAAGTATTATATATACTGTGCTTTTTTGCAGACATGTCACTGGGTCTCTCCCAACACTGAGGTGTTCTGTAAAGAAAAAGGGATGTGATAGTTTTGATATCTGTAGTAAAAAAACAGCACTGCATTTTGCCCGTTATTAATTTTGCCCATTATGAATTTTCAATTGTTTTAAGTAGAGCTAATATTATAGGAAATGAATATGTAACTGGATGACTTGCAAGTATTTTGTGTTTTCACCTGTACATATGGTATATTTATGCAAGTATAGAGGCTCACTGCAACCAAACAACATCCAGAATGTGTCTGCCATCATATTGAAATGGAGACATGTAATTCAGGTCTGAATTTAGATGAAATTTCAGTGCTGAAGTTCCCACTGGTTTAAGTCTGGTTGTATGACATGCATTTGAGTGTCGTGTCTGTGGACTTACAGATACAATGACATATTTTCCTGCAGTCATACAAAATGCTTGCTTTGGGATTGGGTCAGTAGAAATGAGCTGAGCCAGTTTTCCCAGTGTTACAGGAGTTGGATTGCAGTAGGATTGCTGGTAGATGTTCTAGTAAGGAATATCACTCAATAAAACAAGGTGATATAAAAGAAGTTTAAATCTCTTTTCACTTTCCTGCATATGTAAGGACAGATTTCTGGCAGTCTTGTGTTACTGGCAGGTGAAAATGTGGGCTTTGGTCATCCGAGCAAAGGACAAACACCAAGGCAGGTGCAATGACTGAAGTTTATTGCTGAATAATTGTCTAATGTTAGAGTCACATACTTAGGTCTTCTTTTTGTCCCATGTTTATTATTTGTGAATGCAAATCACTCATTATTTACTGTACAGTACCTATAGTTATTGCTGAGATAGAGCAGCAAGTCCAAGTAGTTAAATATATTTTACTTTAGTATATCCTAAGTATTAAAATTAAGTAGCAATATGCTTTTCCTAAGCATCCTAAAATGAAGCACTAGGCATGACTCATGGAGTAAATGCTTCTTCAGTGACTAGAACTGTGCAGTGCATGTCTAACTGCAAGGTACTAGCATCCAAGCACAACTAAAACTATATTGTTTGCTAAACTGTAGTAAATCAACATATTGAATGGTTTTGACCACCATTTGTGAAATGAGAAGAATTAAGTTTACACAGCTTTGTATTTCAAATGAGCAGTATTTTGCCTAATGGGTTAATTAAGTCATTAGCAAAATCACTTTGTAACAAAGTCAAGACCAAAGGCCTTTGTTCTTCTTGAAGCTTAAGCCTTGGCTGCTCTGTGCAAGAGACCCCTCAGCTCTCACATCCCCTGCTCGGGGCAGTGAGCCCAGGTGGGAGCCAGCTCTGCTTCCCAATTCACTGCTGCATGCCTGGACTATCCCAGCACCTGCAGATTTCTGAGCTATGTTCACTACTGTTGAAGTCCAGGACAGAAAACTATCTGACTCCTTCTGATGTGAGGCTATTAATCATAGCGTACTACAACCTAAGCTTTTCTTTGCCATTTTGTTTACTGAAGTACTGAGACGTACAGAGAGATTCAAAATTAGATTGATTTTTGGGATGAGATCAGTTACCTTTCATACAGGGATTAATGATTTCTGGTTGTACTGATTTTACAAGCTGAGTTTCTAGTGCTTGTATTTAAGTTTCTGTAATATCTGTTCTTTCTTAGTTAAGTGAATTATTATGCTTCTCACCCATGCCAAGCCTCAGGGAAAAAACAAGTGCTATGTTCTTTATAATACTGATAGATCATTAGCACTGCACGTGGCCTTTCAGTATCTAGAAGGAGGTTATAAGAAAGAAGGGAACAGACTTGTTAGCAGAGTCTATTGTGATAAGACAAGGGGAAATGGTTTCAAACTAAAAGAGGGGAGATTTGGATTGGATATAAGAAAGAAGTTTTGTACAATGAGGGTGGTGAAGCACTGGAACAGGTTTGCCCAAGGAAGTGGTGGAACCCCATTCCTGCAGACATTAAGCAAGGTATGTGAACGGATCCCAAGAGTTGCTGTTGTGACACAGAGCAACAAAAGTAACTGAATATTTTGATCTGGGTTTTTCTGTTGAACTCATTTAGAATTTAAAATAATGCAAGCAAGAAAAATTCAGGCTTATCGTTCTTTCGGCTTATGAAGCTTCTCCTCCAATACTTCACAGGGCCTGCCCACTGGAAGGAGGTTTTTCCTGTCGCTAATGGAGACCGGCAGTCACCAATTGACATCAGAACTGAGGAAACCAAGTATGACCCCTCTCTCCGTCCTCTAAATCCCAATTACGATCCAGCTTCTGCTAAAATCATCCTGAACAACGGGCACTCCACCAGCGTTGAGTTTGATGACACTGTGAATAAATCAGGTTTGTTCCTTTCCTATTGCATTGTTTTCTTCCCCCATTTCCTGAATGGAGCGCAGTCTGGCCATATCTCTCAGCCAGATGTGACCTCCTCAAACCAGTAAGGC